CGAATTTGTCCCCGCATGGTCATGTTAACTTTATTCACGAAACATTCCAAAATGTGGCTTATTGTGTGATTCGGTACAGTTGCAATCGTAGTATCAGTGCAGTATTAAAGCATGACAACAACGCAACCACGTTCGCACGTTATCAGCCATACCGTCGTTTACACTTGTCAAAAGCCAAATCAGTAATCAAAAGCTAAATCGTCGAAACATGTTGCACGACGGAAAGCAAGCCGTGATTACACAACGGACCGTCTATATCGGGCAGTCTTGTGCGAAGCTCTGCGGGTCCGAAGGGCGGTGATGGTCGGCGGCAGGCGACTCCAGGATGGGGTCGTGCGGCACGGAGAAGCCCTGCGCGCCACCGACAGGTGAAGGGCTGCTGATCGGGCGCTCGTCGCTGTCACCCGGGTGGCACGCGGTCATACAGCAGTGCGTAGGGTGAACAGGGTCCGGACCTCTACCGGCCGCGGGTTCAAGGGCCCTGAATACAGCGAGGCCGTCACGGTGGATGGCAAGGTCACTGACACCGCGACACTCAGCGCTTGGACGGTCGCCGCCATGAATCTCGCCGACGAGTATCGGTGGCATTAATGCCCTCAAAGTTTACCACCCTTGCACTGTGTTTGGGTCGCACCCTGCAGCCCCAACTAAGACCGAGAGGCAGAGCGGGAGATGAGAGAATGCGTGGGACTGGATGAGAAGCTTACGATCTTCGGGCGTAAGATGGTGACGATTTTTATGCAAGCACAAAAGCATGGCGTTCAGCAACACGGGATATGTGCAACTCCCAGAAAAGGGTGCTTTCGATAGCAGCATCTCCATAGACGACGAAAGGCTTAAGCTGTGTTCCGTAATGTCAAGGTGAGAATATAACTTTTTCAGGGATTGTGAAGTGCCAGGGGGGAGAGTTGTTTGGTGAGATTCATTTAATGGGAGCTAGGTGTGAGGGGCGATTGAATCACTTGGATGTTTCCTTCTATCGGGATTTCAAAAACGGATAGTTGGTCTAGATGAACGGAGTCAAACAGTTTTGTGTCGTCGACACAGGACACTAGGCGTTCGTGAGGGATCTAAGCTGGAAGATCGTTCGGAAAGGCGTTGAAAACAGCTGCGCTACATTATCATCTACCAAAACAGCACGTTCAACTGACAGAATCACGCAAAACAGAGCCACCAGACGCGACCCTACCCAGTGTTGTCCGAACCGACCCCCTGGGCACTTGGGACGTTACGCAGCGCTATCCGTCCACTGCTGCGGGGTCGCCAGCTGGACAGCGACGGCCCGGGGTCGATCGATCGCTCTTTATCAGTCGGCTATCGCTGGGATTGCACCCAGACGGCGGCGCCACCAGAAACGGATCTGCCACATCACGTGACGCCAGCTGGCCGGCCACCGCCAGAGGGACCTCCCGGTGACGGGTCTGCCACATCACGTGACCACCAGCTGGCCGGCCACCGCCAGAGGGACCTCCCGGTGACGGGTCTGCCACATCACGTGACCACCAGGGCCGGCCACCGCCAGAGGGACCTCCCGGTGACGGATCTGCCACACCACGTGACCACCAGCTGGCCGGCCACCGCCAGAGGGACCTCCCGGTGACGGGTCTGCCACATCACATGTCCACCAGCTGGCCGGCCACCGCCAGAGGGACCTCCCGGTGACGGATCTGCCACACCACGTGACCACCAGCTGGCCGGCCACCGCCAGAGGGACCTCCCGGTGACGGGTCTGCCACACCACGTGACCGCCAGCTGGCCGGCCGCTGCCAGAGGGACCTCCCGGTGACGGATCTGCCACATCACATGACCACCAGCTGGCCGGCCGCTGCCAGAGGGACCTCCTGGTGGCGGGTCTGCCACATCACATGACCACCAGCTGGCCGGCCACTGCCAGAGGGACCTCCCGGTGACGGGTCTGCCACACCACGTGACCGCCAGCTGGCCGGCCACTGCCAGAGGGATCTCCTGGTGGCGGGTCTGCCACACCACGTGACCACCAGCTGGCCGGCCACCGCCAGAGGGACCTCCTGGTGGCGGGTCTGCCACATCACGTGACCACCAGCTGGCCGGCCACCGCCAGAGGGACCTCCCGGTGACGGATCTGCCACACCACGTGACCACCAGCTGGCCGGCCACCGCCAGAGGGACCTCCCGGTGACGGATCTGCCACATCACATGACCACCAGCTGGCCGGCCACCCCAGAGGGACCTCCCGGTGACGGGTCTGCCACATCACATGACCACCAGCTGGCCGGCCACCGCCAGAGGGACCTCCCGGTGACGGGTCTGCCACACCACGTGACCGCCAGCTGGCCGGCCACTGCCAGAGGGATCTCCGGTGGCGGGTCTGCCACATCACATGACCACCAGCTGGCCGGCCACCGCCAGAGGGACAGACAGACCGACGTGGTGTGCAGACCCGGTGACGGGTCTGCCACACCACGTGACCGCCAGCTGGCCGGCCGCTGCCAGAGGGACCTCCTGGTGGCGGGTCTGCCACACCACATGACCACCAGCTGGCCGGCCGCGCCAGAGGGACCTCCCGGTGACGGGTCTGCCACACCACGTGACCGCCAGCTGGCCGGCCTGCCAGAGGGATCTCTGGTGGCGGGTCTGCCACACCACGTGACCGCCAGCTGGCCGGCCGCTGCCAGAGGGACCTCCCGGTGACGGGTCTGCCACACCACGTGACCGCCAGCTGGCCGGCCACTGCCAGAGGGATCTCCTGGTGGCGGGTCTGCCACACCACGTGACCGCCAGCTGGCCGGCCGCTGCCAGAGGGACCTCCTGGTGGGGGTCTGCCACACCACATGACCACCAGCTGGCCGGCCGCTGCCAGAGGGACCTCTCCGCTGACGGCTGGAAGAGGGAGTTAATTTCGGTGACCAGCCGGAGCTTGGCTGCGGCCGGTGTCCACTGGCCCATCCCCCCTTATGATTCAGGTGTTTCAGGTGTGGGGTGCATTTCCAACGTGACCGCTTCGCACCCTCATGTTTATAGTCATCTGATAGTAGTATACGTATCGATTATATACCCATGATTTTTACGCAACTGCGGTGCTGCCAGGCGCAATCCAACTCGCAACGCGCATTTATCACCTTGGCTCGGTATGCCGTGATTCTTGGCCTTCCCTTCCGTTGTATCCGTGGCTTCAGGTCGGTAGTTTTTTCTAAGCATCGCTGTCGCCAACAGGTGACGACACCATGGAATTGATGTACAGCCCTATGTCCACGTCCTGCCGGGCCGTACTCATGTGCATCAAGGAGATGAAGCTCAAAGTCGATCTCAAGAAGATGGACATCCAGAGGAAGATGGAACACATGATGGCCTGGTTTGTGAAGGTGCGGAATGTTCTAAGATGCACGTCGGGCGCGTTGCAGGCGACCGATTGCTCGAAATGCCATGAAACTTGGGAGTTTTGTTAGATATCTGATTAAAAACGCTGGCTACCGATCGGAGGCTGTCCTCCGTCTTAGACATTTTCAGGTGGATGATGGGCTTGCAGCGAAAACAGCTGGACAGTAAGCTGTCCAAGTTGCAACTGACACCGTGTCTCAGCGTGTGGCGCATGCGATGTTCACAGTGTGCAGGAATATGGCTGCGGGCTGACGTTTTTGGTGGAGCCGGTTTTGGTCATGGCAACCGTTAGACGCTGATGTTTAAGTACTCCGAGGCACCTGACATTTCCTGTCGATGCCTGTTGCCACCACAAATGCCCGGCATGCAGATGCATGCTGCTTATTTTACCTCAGAAGCAATCACTAGTTCAGATTGTCACTTATTCAGAGTACGTTGCTTGCTCACGGAAGTGAACGGCGGCGTGTTGTGGGGATGCATTTGAGTCGCCTGGCCGCCCGTAAGAAATGCACGGCGCCCCCGCTGACCGTTGACCGAGTCCTTCCGCTTCAGCTGAACCCGCAGCACACCGTGCCAACCCTGGAAGACAACGGCTTCATCCTGTGGGAGAGGTGAGTGGATGGCCATGGTCACAGCTCCTGATCATGCGTGTCGGTGTGGTCATGTGGTGCACAACTGGCAACACGTCCTACGAAATGTTGATATAATTGTCTACGAGGCATCAAGCCCATGCCAAGCACTGAAATGCACTGTCTTAATCAGAGATGTGCCTAGCGGATGCCAAGCTATCTAGAAAACTGACATTTGACGGAAAGGCGCGGGGCCCTCGGTCCGGTCGAGGAGGCGTCGCAACACAGGACACCTCCCGAACTACACCACGGACGGCGAACCCGAGCTACTGTCGTTACCGCTCCTCTCACCCCATGAGCAGGCAGACGCGCAAGCGACAAACCCAAACACAGACCCTGATCCGACACCAAGCACAAACGCGCATCGTAGCGCAACCGCCCGAATCCGACGCCCCGAAGACCGACACCCTGGCCGCTAACCTCGCGGCCCGTGTCAGCGATCTGATCGGGCCTTGTCACGTGGGTGTAATCGCCGCCGTGTTTGTTCACCGCGCTATGGAGACGTGCCCATTTGTGGCTGAAGGGAGGAGAAACATCTGGCCACACCGCAGCCATCAAGGCTGCTGGAGAAGCTGGGCCGTTTTCGGGCAGATGTAGAAAGTGAGCAGATTGTCAGCCAATCGTAACGTCTGCTTATTCACTCGTAGCGGCAGCTCCAGTCGGTAATTAAAGGCTGTACATCTGACCAGATCGGAATTCAGCGCTGTTGTCAGTCGGTTTGCAGTGTGCGCTGATGCTGCACCGCACTGCGCAGAACTGTTCTGAACGGCCGTGCACACTAGAGCCAGGACACACTCAAACGCCCTGACGCGGCCGCGGGCTGCCTGCAGCTCCCCGCTCCTCGCCCGTCTGACCCCAACGAGCCCTGTACGTCCGTCGTCCGCACGGCCTTCGCTCCCGGCTGGCGCGAGGGCCACTCCTCATTATGCAGCGGGTGCGGCCCGCCCGGCGGGCCGGCCGGGCGGTCCGGCAGCTCACCAGGGCGGCTACCGCGCGCGGCGCAGCAGTCCGGCCCTGCCGCGTCAGGCGGCCCAGACCTGGGATAAACACACGCCACGGGGTCGTCTGGTCGGCCGGAGATAGTAAGCTCCGATCAGTCTGACTCAAGGCCTAGACCGTTCGTCAACGTATCGGTCTGCCGCGTCATGGATTGGAAGAGAGTGGCCAGACCGGCCGCATTTAGATGCCAGAGAGTGCTGCTAAACATAACATAGCACCACCATGAGGAATTTGAAAGTTAACGGGACATGAGATTGTCGTGGACTGTTTGGTAATTGCCGGCCCCCGAGTCAAAGAACCCACGCGGCTGGTTATGGCTGTCACTCGTGCAAGACGCTACCGACCGCCGCGTCCCTTCCTCCCTGCTAGAAAAACCTTAGTCGCCTTCCCTTTTCTTTCATGTCCACATTCGGCTTTTATTCGAATCCCTTCACAGCAAACGTCGCCTCTATCAGACCTTACAGATGACGCCCGTTTTCGCTCCGTGCACGTGGCGACTCGTGCCTCTACCATCTACGTGCCTTCCCTGGCGACGCCTAACCTCTTCCCCTCTCCCTGAGGACATGGTCTTCACCCCTGGCGCCCTCACCCAACCAAGACGCCTTTCTTCGCTTCCCTTCCGAAGTCCTCCTCCGCACTTCCTCTTCAATGAGGAAGCCCTCCTCCTCCTCCCCTTCCAGCCTTCATCCCTGGGGCGTCTGCGATATCTACGAGGTCAGGTGAAATCTCCTACCTACGCTTTGCCAGGCCTCCCTCCCTGGTAACCCTGCACCTGGGGGGGCCCTTCCTGGTGACGCTTACCTGGATTCCTTCCCTGTCAACACTCACCTGGCCTGCCTCCCGGCGACCACCTTCTGGCCGTCCTCCCTGGCGAACCGCCGCCTAGCCTGACTTCCTGGCTACCCCTATCCTGGCCCCCTCCCTGGAGGACGTTCGCCTGGTCCTCCCTCCCTGCCAACCCCAGCCTGGCTTCTCTCCTGGGCGATGTGTTCGCTTGGCCTCCCTCCCTGGCGACCTCACCCAGGCTGCTCTCCCTGGCGACGCCCGCCGGGGCCCTTCCTGGCATCTTCAGCCTGGCTTCTCTTCCTGGGCAAACGCCTGCGCGGGCCGATCAGCCATCAGGCCGACGGACACTGCGGCGAGCGCGGCGAGATGAACTAATGGCCCGCCTGTCGGCGAGGGCGCCATCGTCGCCCGCGTCGCCGACCGCTGCCCCGCTGCTGGCGGCGCCTTCTGCCCCGACCACGTGCCCACCACAGGCCGGCCGAAGGAAGTGTTCCAGCGGCCGGCGGGCTGCGGGGGGCCGCTCGCCCGACGCAGCAGTTCGCTCGACCGTCCGGCTGGCGGGGAGGGTCGGGGCGCGAGCACCGGCCGGGGCCGCCGACGGCCGCGGGGACCATCCGGGGGCGCGCCGCGGCCGCGGCGGCGAGTGACTAGTGCGAGGGCCCCCGGGCATCAGGCAGGGTCGGCTGGTGTCGTTCGGACGTCCCATCGGGTTTTAGTTGGGTGGGGCGTAAAGCGCGGGTGACGTCAGCGTGGTGACGTGCGTTGTGCTGGACCACGGCTCCCTTGGTGTAGGTAACAGTGGTCTGTAGCTATCAGACTCAATCGCTCCTCAGCCTTTTGATCACCGGCTCATTTTACTGTTGCGGACGAAATCTAGCTCGTGTTGTAGGGAGGACAGGATTCCAGCGACCTCGCTCCGTCGATTTGCTTTGTTCATTTAGTTTTACCAGCCACAACAGTGAAATCAGCAAAGGAACATTTAGTTGTGTTTCGTGCATGCGTGAGGTGTACGGCATCGGTGCTATCGGTATCGCCGCGGTACCTTCATTACCTCATGGAGACGGAAACACCTTACGATGTACTTTCCTTCATGCACAGGGTTTGATTTTAGTTGCCATAGAGAGCACCACGCGTTTGACGATGCTATTGAGGATGTTTTTTTCTGCCTCGCTGGCATCGGTCACCTGCCATGTCCGCTATATGCCCTTCCTTTTAAACGTTCCGGTCAGAAGGCTCAGACGAGCCAGTTCATGCTGAGATATTCCATGCACGTTCTCTGTTATGTGATGACAGGTGGCTATCACAATGATAGCCGTTGACGTGCCGCTGTCTCTGGCGTCTCTGATTTTTTGCAACGCCCGACTGTCCGCTGATTTCTGGCCTGTGCCGTTCCGCGGTGTCCAGTCCTGTTCTGATGTCCTCAGTTGCATCATCATCTGATGTCCGGCTGCCGGACTTATGTGCGCGTAGTCAGTCGCGAAAAACTTGCCAAGAGGCGCGGTCACGGCTAAAGGAAGGGCTGACCATCCGCGACTGCGTGGCTCGGTAGCCTGAGCCTCCATGGAATCTAACGCCTGATCCTGGACTGGCATCCTCGGGTTCGGTGGGACCGGACACTCCCGACAATGTGACGTTATCGAGCCTTCCGTGTCTGGAAACGGAGTTCCACACTCGAGGGTGAGGGCCAGAGCTATCTCAGTTCAGATCCCCGCCCGGGGGGAGTGGCTTGTCGCCGGTGCGCCCCAGAGCCAACACCTCAGCCCGCTCGCTCTGCTGTCCGTCCGCTCTGCCCGCCCGGGCGCGCGCCGTGCGGTGCGGCATCGGCCGCGTCAGCGTCACCTCTGGTCGCGTCGGCACGGTGGCCGCACCAAGCATGCGCCGCGCGTGGTGCGCCGCATCGAGTGACGCTGTCCGCGGGGCGGCGGCGCCGGCCTGCCGCAGGTGGGGCCGGCTTCGGCGGCTGCCGGGCCGGGAGGTCGCGGGTGCCACGTGCGCCAGGCTGGGGCCGGTGCGTGCCCCGGGTGGAGCTTGAGGCGCCGCGGCGACGCCGTCCGAGGGCGGGGCCGCGCCCGGCGCCCCATCTCACCGTGACGGCCCCCTGGCGCGCGCCGCATGGAGATGAGGGCGCGCTGCGCGGCGGCGAGGCCAGCCGAGAGGCCTGAGCCGGCCCGCCCAGCTCCGCGCCGCGTCGTCAGCGCCGCCGGTCCGGCCGTCCGCCTCGGCCGGCGTCGGCCGTGACCCGCGCCGGCCGAGCCTCGAGTCGCGCGTCGACCAGGCCCCGCCGGCGCATTCGCTATGCGTGCGAATCACCGCGTCAAGGCCGCCGCGCCACGGTCCGCCTGATTTGCATGCGCGACGACCTGCCGGGCGGGCGCCTGCAGCCGGTGTCCTGCAGCGGAGACGGCCGCCGAGCCGGGCCGAGAGTGGTGGGCCGGTCAGTGGCCATGGTAACGCGCCCCGGCCCGGTCGGGCGGACAGGCGGCCGCTGTCCGGCGGTCCCGTGTCCGCCCGCCGGGGAGAGAAGTCGCGTCTCCTTGCCCGGAGGTGGGGCTGACGGCGCGGCGGCGGGAGGAAGACGGCGCCGCTCGGCGTCAGACCGGTCACCACCTGTCTTTTTCTGCTTTGCTGCCGCGTGCCAGTGCGATCCGACGGCAAGTAGAGAAAGATTGGTGGGTACCGGTCGTCTCGACGGGACTCCTGTGTACCATCGAGGCTGTACCGTCATGATTCACACCATCCATTGCTGATATTGTGCGATGCTGGTCGCAGTTGAACACAGCTTTTGGAGGATTAATACACGGTGTCCGTGAAGAGGAGTTTTCTATCGCCTGACATATTTGTAAAACGCTCTAAACGCATCGAACGTCCTGCCACGAGCTGCAGTGGAAGGAAGTCCAACAGAAGTGACAAAGGCCATTGGATCTGGGAACAAGGCGATGCCGGATGTGTTTCGCACATGAGACGCCTGTTCTGGTAGCGGGCCGCCGCCATTTTCAACGCTGTCGAGCGGCAGCCCGCAACGGCTGGCACCTTGGAGCAAACATTGATTTCGCGGGCGTCGACAGTACGTCACCTCAGCTTATTTACATGGAGACCGTGCATGGCCGGCCGAGGGGCGCTGGCGCGGCCTTGGGCGGAGAGAAGTCGTCCTGGTCGCTACATCAATATACAGACGCTCACATACCTGACCTCGCGTC